TTTTTTTTTTTTAAGTTCTGTAAATTATTTATTCGCTAACAAACTATTTGATTTTGTTTTCATAATTAAGTGAAAAGTGCTATGCGTTTGTTGTTAATCACGCAACAAATGACGTCATGCAAAAAAAAAAAAAAAAAATGACTTATCAGTTGATTTGATTTGCAATAATTGAGTAGCAAATTAATCGGATTAATATTGAAGAAAAAAAAAAAAAGGGCAGCGAAAGAACAGGGAAAAAAAAAGGAATAAAAAAAAGCTTGAGTGCTTGAATTTTCTGGTATAGACTGGAAAAATATGAAAAACTTTTTTTTTTTTTCTTAGTTTATTTTAACTAAATGATATTAAACTAAAGAGATTGTCTAAAGCATATTGATATTTTCCCGAATCAAACGTATCAAAGAGCATTCCAAAGAGATTTTTGTTTTTTTTTTTTTTTGCAGGAGTCTAAAAGAACAACAGCAATTTAGTAGCAGTGCATTTTTATTTTTTTCTTATAGCTATTACCCGACTAATATAGTGTAGATTATGTTATTTTATTTTATTCATTTAGTTTATTTATTTATTTAGTTTATTTATTTATTTATTTGGTCTATTTATTGGTCATTTTTTTGTTACAGGATGGTAACGGTTCAATATCGTCAAAAGAATTGGGTGTTGCAATGCGAACACTGGGACAAAATCCAACAGAACAGGAACTGTTGGATATGATTAATGAAGTGGACTGTGATGGAAGTGGTAGTATCGAATTTCCGGAGTTTTGTCAAATGATGAAACGAATGAATAAGGTTTTGGGTTAACATTTAAAAAAAAAAAATTTCTGTTTCTTTTATTACTTTTTATTATTCATCAATAAAACTTAAAAAAGCATTTTTTTTTTCCAATATTTATTTTTCTTGTCTAATATTTTGTTTTCTGATCTTTTTTTTTGCTACCACTTTTTGTCATCTTTTTACTTTTTTTTAGAATTATTTGTATTAAAGTTTCAAAGTTTTTCCATTTTTTTTTACTACAAACTGTTAAAGTGGTTTTAGAATTAATGACATTTCCGGCTAACAGTCTTGGTTTTTTTTTTTTTCTACTTTTGTCTACTGTCTTATTCTATGTTTTCTAATCTTGACAAAGCCACCTTAGTTTTCTAGTTTTTTGCTTAGAACTGTAGGTTTACGCCTGTCTATGGATCAGTGTGTTTGGTGTAGGAAATGCAGTTGAACGCTTTGGAAGATTAGTCCTATTTCAACTGTTTAAAAAGCAACTACATAATGGTCAGACAAAAAGGACAAGTTTTTTTTTTTTTGTTTTTTGTAGGCATCAATTTATTTTATTTTTCTCTATGGTGGAGGAAATTGATGGAAGAGGGAGGGAGGAAAAAAAAAAAACTGAATGAATTATAAATAGGGAAAAAATTGTTGTGCCCAGACAACTGAGGTTAAATTTAGTTTTGTGGTCACAGCCATTGTTTGTCTGGCAACAATTTTTTTGATGATATAAAAATTGTAGTTTCGAAGTGTTGGTGTTATTCAACGGTGCCTCTTAAGGGGTGATTGTAGAAAAAAAATTACAAGAAGAAAAAAAAAAAAAAACAGAGGTAAACTTAAAAATGACATTTTTTTGAGGTAAATTTTTGATAAAATGAATTTTTTTTTTGTTTCTTCTTAAACAATAAATGATTTTTAATATATATTTTTGCCAGTGACGTTTGGGGGCTTTTTTTTTTTTCCACTGAGAAATTATGTAAAACAAAAATGAATGGAAGTGAAAAACAAAGTTCAAAAAAATCATTTCGGGTTTTTTTTTTTCTTGATTAATTATACCAATTTAACACTTTCAAAGGCAAAAAAGAAAAATAATAATAATAATAATTGAATTAAAAAAAAAAAGAAATCGTTGTTATCTGTAAGCTGAGAAGTTCAGTCATAAAGCTTTTAGAGGGTGCGGCATTTCTGTTCTTCGTTCTACTTTTAAAATCCCCCCTGTTTTTTTCGTTTTTTTTCTCATCTTTCATCTCCCATCTTTCTTTATCCGA